TAGAGACGGGGCTTCACCATGTTGACCAGGATGGTCTCGATCTCTTGACCTCGTGATCCACCCGCCTCGGCCTCCCAAAGTGCTGGGATTACAGGCTTGAGCCACCGCGCCCGGCCTAATTTTTGTATTTTTAGTAGACACGGGGTTTTGCCATGTTGGTCAGGCTGGTCTTGAACTCCTGACCTCAGGTGATCCACGCACCTCAGCCTCCCAAAGTGCTAGGATTACAGGCGTGAGCCACCGTGCCCGGCCTGCAGCTCTCTGTTTCATCCTGTTTTCTCCTCTGTGCTTCTCCCCTGTCTCTGTCTCTGCCTTGCCTCACCTCTGTCCCTGCTTCTGCCTCTATATCCTTTTTTCTATATGTCTCTTGAAGCTTTCTGGGACCAAGCTCTAGGCAGTGCCCCGGGGATATCAAATGCGGATTCTATGTTCCAGAAACTCCGTGTCACGGGTGGGGCCCAAGGAGATGGACACAGTATCAACAGGGTGATTCGAGCTACTCCGGAGGGGGGCGCCCAACACAGCCTTGAGAGCGCTCCTTACCTTCATGAAGAGGTCAGGGAAGGCTTCCTGCAGGAGGAGGTGTGGGATAAGATTTGAAGGAACAGGAGGAGTTCAGCTGGCAAAGACAGAAGAAGGTTCTAGGCAGAGCAGCCCAGAGCTGGGAGGGGATGATTGGATCGGATCCGCCAGTGATGGAGAGTGAAAGATTCAGTGGGCCAGGTTGCTGGAAGAATGAGGTTTTCTCCAGAGGTGGGAGGGGCACATCACACAGGGTCTCCAACCCCAGGCTTGCGGGGCTCAGACCTTCTGAGAGCTGTGACCAGGGGAGGGACAGGGTCAGCTCTAGTGACATTATACTGATGGACGGAAGCAGATACGAGGCTGGGGGGAGTGAGCTTCGAGCTCCCGCTTCCTGATGTCTCTCTGTCTCTGCTTCTTGCGGCTGCTGTCCCTGCATGTCTCTTCCCTGTCTGGGTCTGGGCTATGGGCTTTCTGCATAGGGCTGGGGGGGTCTCACCCCCTTTTTCTCCCCGCAGAAGGCCAGGGCTGTACCGCTTACGACGTAGCTGTCAACAGCGACTTCTACCGGAGGATGCAGGTTGGGGGCGGGGCTGCGGGTGAGGCCTGGGCAGGGGTCTCTCCCTCCCCTTCCCCTCTCCCCCCGCCACCACTGCCTCTTTTCTCTCTGTCAACCCTAGAACAGCGATTTCTTGCGGGAGCTCGTGATCACCATCGCGAGAGAGGGCCTTGAGGACAAATACAACTTGCAGCTGAACCCGGGTGAGGGGCAGGGCCTGGGCCATCAGGAGGGAGTGGAGCGAAGAGCGGTTTGGGGGACACTTGCGCTCTTGGGCAGGGTGTCCTGGAGGCTGTGCTACTGGGAGGGGGTGGAGCTTCCCAACGTGAGGGGGAGGAGTCTAGGCGCCCTGAAGGGGCGGGGCCAGGACAATCTCCAAGGGCGGGTTTTATCAGGGCATATCATGGGAGGGGCGTGGCTAAGGTGGGCGGGCTTCCTGGAGCCGAGCCTGGGGTCAGATCCCACGACTCCGGGAGGCTCTTGGCTGGGCAAGGAGGCCTCCTGAGAGCACAGGCACCCCTGACCTGTATGGTGTTTGACTCTGTGCTCCTGACTCTCAGAATGGCGCATGATGAAGAACCGGCCATTCATGGGCTCCATCTCGCAGCAGAACATCCGCTCGCGGCAGCGTCCTCGGATCCAGGAGCTGGGAGACCTATACACGTCCACCCCCGGGGGAGCTGAGTCAGGGTGGGCCTTCAGCAGATCCTTGGTCTGATGTCTCCTCAACGCTCTTGGGACTCCCTCCCTCCATCCTCCCACACTGGGTGGTGCCCTGGAGCCCTGGGCACTGAGAGAGGGATGAGAGAGAACTCCTGACCTGGAAGGCATCCTGGGGCAATAGGGCTGGTTGGGGGGAGAAAGGGAGCAGCACCCCAGGCAGAGGGCACAGTACTGGCAAAGACCTGGCAGCTGTCCTCAGCCCTGGGCCTCTTCCCCCTCAGCCCTGAAAAGCCTCACCTGAGCCTGTGGCTGGAAGCTCCTGACCTCCTCTTGGCCGAAATTGACCTCCCCAAACTGGTAAGTTCTGCGGGCTGGACCAGAGCAGGAGAATGAGGTCTGGAAAGGTCAGGGACTGTCTCTGAGAGTGACAAGGGGCTGTTGCTGGACTTGCGTCAGCTGCGTCCTCTGTCCCAGGAGGCCAACGGGCCACCTCCCAGTGCTGTCCTGAGAGTGCCCATGGGATTGTAAGTGCTCGGTCGTTGAGACTTGTAATTGCTGTCTTCTGCACCTCTTCCCTGGGAGATGAGACCCTTCAAATATAGTTTCTCAGCATGTGAGGCCACCATGCCTGTTCCAGCTGATTGTCCTGTTGCTGGGGAGGGTGACCTGACTGCACCACCTTTCCAGGATGGAGCCCTGGGGCTGTCGCTGGAGATCGGGGAGAACCGCTTGGTGATGGGGGGCCCCCAGCAGCTGTATCATCTGGATGCCTACATCCCACTGCGGATCAACTCTGACGAGAGCAAGGCAGCGTTCCATTGGAAGAGAAAGGTGCCTGGTGTGGGGAGGGGAAGCCAGGACACTGAGGGGCCTGGACTCTGGCTCCCAGGGACGGGGGCAGGGTCTTCTGGGCCCTGGATCCTCATTCTCTTTCCCGTGTCTCCTCAGCAACTGATGGTGGCCATGCCGCTTCTGTCGCTGCCTTCTTGATCAGGGTGTCTCCCTGTGCTTCCAAGATGTGAAGAGGCTGCTGGCTTTCCTAAAGTTGAAATAAAAGAAATTTTTGCCTTTGTCATATCTCTGACTGGGGATATATGGGAGGGAAGAGGAACATTGGGCTGTGCCCCTCTAGTCCCATATAGGTCACTGCCCCAGCTTAGGCCTTGTCCTTCCCCCTGGGTCCTCCCTGCATCCTCCTGGCCTCCAGCCTCCCCTCGGTAGTCCTCCCCAGGCCCCAGAGCAGGCCCTGCCCTTTCCCTGTTCACAGCCCTCCCGTAGCTCCCCAGCCACCCTGGGAGAAGGTCCAAGCCCTTCAGCCAAGCGCCCAAGGCTCTGTGTGATCTATGTCCCGCCTCATGGCTTACTTTTTCGTTTAAGCGACAGGGTGTCACTCTGTCGCTAGTCTGGAGTGCAGTGGTGCAATCATAGCTCACTGCAGCCTGGAACTCCTGGGTTCAAGTGATCCTCCTGATGTCAGCCTCTGAGTAGCTAGGATGACAGGCGTGTGCCACCATGCCCAGCTAATTTTATATTTTGCATTTTTTTTTTTTAAGAAATGGGGTCTTGCTATGTTGCCCAGGTTGGTCTTGAGCTCTTGGCCTCAAGTGATCCTCCTGCCTTGGCCTCCTCAAATGTTGGGATTACAGGCGTGAGCCACTGTGCGCAGCCGAGTTTTGACCTCTTCCTCTAACGGAAGGCCAGGCACACTCCACAGTGTCCTGACCACACCCTTTTCCCCATGTCTTAGTTTCTGCTGTTCCTGCCACTTTGTATCCTCCTTCCAGTACATCTGTGGAAGT